CCCCCCCCCCCCCCCTTTTTTTTTTTTTTAAGACATTTATAGTATTGAATAAAGGGAAGACAATCTTCAGGTTCAGTGCCACACCTGCCTTGTACCTTTTATCTCCTTTCAATGTTATTAGAAGAACAGCTATTAAGATTTTGGTTCATTCATATCCTTTTCAAGTGGTTTCTTTTGTGTTCTTGCCCTTAATTCTGTCTCTCAAAATGAATCAGAGCTAAGATTTGCTGCTTTAACCCTCTGATTAAATTCAGAGGAAGAGATGCACAGCACGTGTACCTAGATTACAGAGTTAGTGGTATAGCAATCATTTTTGTGAAACATCTTTGCATTATTTATGACATTGCTAGTGATAATAAACTGATTTGTATCATATGTGTTTTAAGTATTTTGTAGCCTGTATTAAAAAAGAATATATTCCTTAACTACAGTCAACATTGTTCAGCATGCTCATTATGCTCACTATTTTGACAAACTGTGTATTTATGACATGGAATAACCTTCCAGACTGGACAAAGAATGTAGAGTAAGTATACTTAAATTAGCTAATAATTTTTAAGTAGTTTAATAATGGAATGCTAAATTAAGAGCTAGACCATGCAGTTTTACTTATCCTTGTGTGCAATACCAGTATTCTCCTTTTTCTATCCTGGAGTTTGATCCTAGCTGCAACTCAAAGCAGCATAGATCTTCAAACTCTAGGAAGGAAGGAAGCTGTGATGTTAATCTTTTTCTCTGAACAAAACTCTGATTAATACTCTTGTTCATAATGTTTGTACAAGTAATGTTTTTATGCATTCTGCCTCTTATGTTCCTTTAACACTTCTATTAAAAAAAGAAAAAAAAATGAAGAAAATAACCATTCAACCTGAAACTACTGCTTTTCAATGTTGAAGATGTTTTCTGTAGTCCCTATAAAGCACCTTCTAAAAATGCGACACACACCTTCTTTAAAGAAAATACCTCTGCTGAGGATTATAGCTTGACATTCTCAAGTCTACCTGGTCAGCCATCAAGTAACTTTAGTAAACACTAGGTTTCACTTACCCATTAATTTTATTTCTGATGTAGAAATCATACTAAAATTTTTATTTGAGCAAAAATATTTTTCTTCATGTTAGTCATGATTATTATATTTGTGCTGATATTTCAAAATCTTATGTGCCAGAAATTGCAAAAATATGTTTCAGATAAAGTAAATACATAAATAAATCAATCCAGTTACCTGGCAGAATAATGGTGGGAAAGCAGTCATAGTTTATGTGAGTTTGGAACTGCTGTTACAGTGTGTGTACTAACTACTGGTTTTGAGTTATTTTCCTTTATGCCTGTGATGTTGTATCACTGAACAATAATCTTTAACTATTACTTGGATGTTTTCTTATAGGTACACTTTTACTGGAATTTATACTTTTGAATTTCTGGTAAAAATTCTTGCAAGAGGCTTCTGTATAAATGATTTTACTTGCCTTCGTGACCCCTGGAACTGGCTTGATTTTGTTGTCATTTCCTTTGCGTAAGTATATAATTTTTTTTAAGTGAAATATCAGTTAGAACTTTTTTTTTTGAACCTGTAATAATTTTTTGGGTTATCTTAACTCATTTAATATTGATTGTAGTTGAATTGTTTTTCAACTTTTTCCATTTAACATTTTACACTAATGCAGCACACAGCAGAATTAGTAGACTATCCCACAGTACAAAAGAAAAGTTACCACTGAACAATCAATTTTAAATAGTATTTAAACAATAAAATCAGGAAAATCCATTTCATTTTTAATTTGCATTCAATGGAAATACTTAAGGGTGTGTTTCTTAGGGAAAACTTAATTGAAACAGGAAAATATGAATGCAAGTCTTTCATTTAAAGTTGCCCCTTCAAAAAAAAAAAAAGTCTGGATTACAGGTCCAGGTAAGTAGTATACACTCTACCTTAATTCTGAATAACTGTGATTTAATCCTACAGGTATATAACAGAATTTGTAAACCTAGGCAATGTTTCAGCTCTTCGAACTTTCAGAGTATTGAGAGCTTTGAAAACTATTTCTGTAATCCCAGGTAAGAAGTAACTATGTAAAATGGTAGGCCCTCTACATCACCTCTGTTTAATTTTGTGTGTGCTGTCATTGTCTTTGTGTGTGGAATCCCTCACTACAGATATGTGACAGAGTTTGTGGACCTGGGCAATGTCTCAGCGTTGAGAACATTCAGAGTTCTCCGAGCTTTGAAAACAATATCAGTCATTCCAGGTGAGAGCGAGGTTAAACACTGAGGCTGGCTGAAATTCCACAGAAGCTGAACCCATATTTTTAAGAGAAGCATCCAGGTTTTAGTCTTAACTTCAATTTGATTCCCTTTTTCTAATTCTCTAAAACACTCAGCCTCAGAGTTTAATACATTCTTGCATGAGAATTTGAATTACATAGTCTGTGTGTATTTCCATTTCATTATGTCAAATTTTGTCTCTCACAGTAAGGATCAAAACTAATTATTTTCATTTTTCTCTTACTAATATGAATGTTACTATTTATTGAAGGCATTTAGAATTGAAATTTTCAGTCTTGTAAAAGCTGAATCCCTGACAAAGACAAAAGAATAAGATAATAAAGAGTAGCATGGGAATTGCATGTTGTCTTTATTACCTTAAGATGCCTATCTTCACCAAACCACACTTCCAGCTGAATAAGATGCAATAGAATGTAATCATTAAAATTTCTACTACAATTCAATTGTGTTCTGTTTTTGTTTGCTGTAATAGAACCAATATATTGTGTATTGGAATAGGACAGTGGCAAAGGTTTGGAGCAAGAGGCATCAAGAAGAAAATGAAATGAACAATTTTCTTTACGTGTAGTTCACATGTATAGAGAGCATGAATAAAAAGTTACTTCTTCATTTGAAGAGCAGGTGCTTTGGAATGTGTACCATTCATTCCCATTCATATTTCATATTTTCAAATTAATTTGTCATGAATGATGAGATTTATTGGTACCTTTTTCCTTTGGGAAATACTTTAAGACTATTTTTGTGAATCTGTGCATGATATTTAATAGTGTGTTGGAGTAGTTCACATTGCATTTTAGCTTAGGTGAGTATTTAATATTATAATAAAAATCTGCCTATATTTGCAGGCTTGAAGACTATTGTTGGAGCCTTAATTCAGTCTGTGAAGAAGCTCTCTGATGTAATGATTTTGACTGTGTTTTGCCTGAGTGTATTTGCACTCATAGGACTGCAGCTGTTCATGGGCAATTTGAAGAATAAATGCTTGTTATGGCCATCAAAAAATTCAACGTCTTTTGAAAAATACGTAGCTCCATACTATAATGGTACAGTGTTTGACTGGACGGCATACATTGAGGATGAAAGTAAGAAATAGTGTTATAACTTGCTAAAAATTTTTGTATAAACACACACACACAAGATTACTGTTTCATTCTATAGGCTAAAAATAAAAATCAATTAAATAGGATGGCAAATAGTAGGGGGTTTATGAATTTCCTATACTTGAACTTTTGCTAGTAGTCTCTTTTGTGTGCCTCTAACAAGAGTCAGGCTCCAACTTCATTCCAGTTTTTCATGTGATACTTGCAGGTAGCATGAAGATCCCCCCCCCCCCCCCCCACTTCCTCCAAGCCCTAACAAAACCAATTTCCTTGAATTTCCTATACTTGAACTTTTGCTAGTAGTCTCTTTTGTGTGCCTCTAACAAGAGTCAGGCTCCAACTTCATTCCAGTTTTTCATGTGATACTTGTAGGTAGCATGAAGATCCCCCCCTCCCTTAGATTTCTCAAGGCTGAACAAAACCAATTCTCTTAGCCTCTCCTTCTATCTTTAGGTTATAGATAAGACAGAGAAGCACTAGATAAATATCGAAGATTTCCTAGTTAAGATGTACTTTTATTATTAGGTAGAGGTAAAAAACCAATTGCTCTCTGTGAAACCAAGAACTCGCTAGGCAAGTAGAGATTCTGGTGGGGAAGGAGATGGTTGTTACTAAAGGGGCCTGACAAAGACATCTTTATCCAGATATTTTTCAACAGTCTTAATTTCTGTAGACTGAAGTGATAACATTCAGACTGGTTCAGAAACACACAGATATTTATTTTTTTATTTGTCATTTGTAATTTGTCATTTTAAGTGATAGCACCAGTAAAGCTGTAATACACAATGAAACATGAGATGTAGTATAACGACTACTAATTGCTGAAAATTTGATTCATTTTTATGTTTGTGTTTGTGCTAGAAGTGGATTTACATGGTATTTCTCAGTAATTCACTGTAGAAGTAGTGTATTTAATAGAAAGAAATTCGTAGAATAACAAGTGCCAGCTTTCCTCCTCACTGACACAAAAGTAAAAGAAAAAACTGTTGTTTTAGGCTGAGTTTTGATGACTCATATTTCCTTCCTTAAAACCAGACATTTAAGTTCTCTGCTGTTTTCTGTATTTTCAGATTTTCTTTCTATACTTCTGAGTTGTTAAAATCCTGGAAATTCTGTGATAGTATTTACAGTTTCTGTACAATCTATCATTGTAGCTAGTTTATTTGCCTAAGAAGGGACACAAAAACGGGTGGCGATAGTGCTGTTTATCAGCTTTGTAGGCAATTTTGGCTGATAGCTTATATGCTGTAAAACACTTGTGAATTCTCTCTTCCAATACAGTATATAGATTCTCTATTTCCATTTCCCACTAAGTAGTAATCTAAAACTAAAAGACAGAACTAAAATCTTCCAGAATGTCAGTTGCTTCCTATGCTACAACCATGGACTTTGCTGGGAGTCTCTACAGAGTGCTGATGCAGGCAAGGCAGTTCCATCTAGTTGTGTTTGTATTCCCCCTTTCTCATATAACCCATTCTTAATCTTTGTATGTCTGAGTTGCATTATAATTTCACTGGGCTCATTTGTGCATCCTCCTAATACTTCTTTCAGCATATCATATGGTGGTCCACTGTGACTGAGTGTGATACCCTGTAGTGGCTTTTCTTAACATCAGTTTTCAGTTATTAAGGAACAAGGCCAGATTCAGTTGTTGAAAAGATATGCACAGATCTTGGATCCACATGTCAAAGCATTGGCACTTGGCATTTAGATCAGTATCTGAACATTTAGAATTTTGGCCAGCTCTAAAGATACTATGGAAGTAATAGGATTCTATAATCCTATTACTATGTCTAACGTTGTGTAAGTACTGTTCTTGAATGGTAGGAATTTGGCATCACTAGATTTGGTTTAAGTGTTCAGTTTAGAATCCTCCTATCTTTGTACATTCTTCATCCCCTGGACTGTTTCTGACTATTTAAATACTGAAACAGTGTTTTACCCTGTGAAAACCAAACCTTTTTGTCAGCTTGAAAGGTATGTTGAGAATATTAATTGAGGATGGCAGAAGATTATTTTAGTTGGGATAAGAGGTTTTTTTCCAGATCTCTGTCTCTTTACCAGATCTCAGTGCCTGGCTATCCTCATGGTGAAAAGTTTCTCCTTATAACCAGACAGAACTTTTTTCTCTTATTTTAAATTATGCCCATCGTCTCTCATTCTCCTGCCACCCACCAGTGAGAAGAACCTGGCTCTGTCCCCTTGATAACCTTCTTGCAGTTGCTGGATGATTTCTACCAACTCCACCAACAGCCTTCCCTTCTCCAGGCCGAACAGTGTTAGGTCCCTCAGCCTCTCCTCACAGGGTCTATGTTCCAGCCCCCTCATGACCTCAGTGACTCTCTGCTGAACTTGCTCCGCTTTATCACTGTCTTGCATTGTGGGGGGCAAAACCTGGACGTAATGTTCTAGGTACAGTCTAACGAGGGCTGAGCTGAGAGGGAGAGTCACTTCCCTCACTCTGCTAGCTGTGCTTCTGTGCACACAGCCCAGGAGGCTGTTGCCCTTCTTGGCTGCCAAGGCACACTGCTGGCTCACCTCCACCTTGCTGCCTGTCCTCCAAAACCCCCAGTGCCTCTTCTGCAGAGCTGCTCCCCAGCCGGTCAGCTCCCAGCCTGTGTCATTGAAGAGCTCTTCCTTCCGAGGTACACAGCTCTGAACTTGTCTTTGCCAAATTCTATGGGTCTCTTGTCAACCCATTCCTCCAGCCTGCCTAGGTCCCTCTGTATGGGGTCTGCCCTCAGGCATATCAACTTCTTCCCCAATTTGTTGTTGTTATTCTATCTGTATACTTTTTTTTTTTTTTAAGGACAACACAGTTGTTAATCATTAATAACAAAATATATTCCTTTATTTCTGAAGGCTACCACCTTATAATTAAAAGAAAAAAAATCTGTAGTTTAAAGTATAGCAGCAGTTATAACATTGTAATTGGAAGACCCATCTTCCTTTTACATGCTACTTTCATATTTTCAGTCACAGGATGTGCAAGTTAATGTTGCTCTGACTTCAAAGCTGTTAGCCAGCCATTGTAAATAGTTCTATTTTAAATAAGATAGGCTTTAATTGTCTGATTGCAATCTACCTACTGAATAAGAGAAAGAGTTTTAAGCTTTGTGCTTTCTTTCTCTCATTTATTGAACATCAGATTTTGGAAGGATATTGAGTGTTTGCTATGACTCAGGGAGAGAAGATGCAATTTATGATGTTCTAATAATTATTCTAGGATTTTATTTTTACATTGTGTTTTTATTTTTTTAATTTTGCAACTTTACTTACCATTATGGATGTGCCAGTATTTGAATCCATTATTTGGAAAACATGAATGGGAGATTATAAACAGTCAAATCATGATAACTTAAACGTAGGTTCACTCTCACAAAAAGAAAAATACTCCTCCTGTTCATAATAATGTAATTTCCTATTTTTCTATAGGTCATTTCTATCGCCTAGAAGGACAAAAGGATTATCTGCTTTGTGGCAATAGCTCAGATGCAGGGTAAGGTATACTGAAAATTACATACTACCTGTCTAAACTAAATGTAAAAAATATCACTCTAAACTTATAAAGCTAATTTAGCTACCTAACGTCACAGTTAATATGTGGTCATTGTTAATAGTAAGTTTAAACTTGAATGAGTAAGAACGTTAAATGAGAAGATACTTCGCTGTAAATTTCTTTTAAAAACTTGTATGTAACTAGAAAATTCCATCTCAGCAGGCAGATATTGCATTATCAATGACTGAAGAACATAATTCTTTATCATGGGTTTCATGCCATTTGTCATCTCTGAAATAGGCATGGGGCAGTGGGACTTTTGGGAAGACATATTCAGAATTCTGTGTGTGGACTCCATGCACGGCACTGTCTTATTCTTTCTTTGTGACAATTCCTAACAAAATCACATAATTCTTTATTCCAATGATATATCAGTCCATCCCTTGATTTTGGTTGGTTATGTCTTTAAACAGATATACTTAAATTTTTTTTGGTAAACATTTCACCTATATTTGTAAGTAACTATCAGATAATTCTATGTGTGTGTGTAAATAAGCATCTAATATACACAGACATATCTGAAGAGAAATCCTTATAGTGTCTTTCTATGGAGGCTTTGGAGGCAAGAACCTCTTCTACCCTTCAAGAATGGAATCATAACTGAAATAGTGTGCCTACAGTTGATATCAAGATTGGATCACCTACTGTTAAAACTAATATGTACAGTTTCAGGAGATAGAAGTATCACTGTGACAGTTATTTGCTGTTGAGGAATTGGTAGAATTTGTTAATTTGACTTGGCTAATTCACAAATCTGAAGAAACCAAGAAATCTGGTGTGCCAACCCTGCTGACAGACAAAATTCAGCATAAAATATGTATATTGACTTGCTTTTTTTTGCATGGAAGTATTCATCTCATGGAATTGCTGTGTTAAGTAAATATATTGTTTCCACTGAAGAGGTAACTGCAAAGGTAATACCAAACTGTTGGTGATAAGTTTTATTTTGTGTATAATGGTGAAAGAAGGTAGGAAGAAAGATGTTTGTTTACTTGTTTTTTAAAGAACGCTTTTTTCATTTCCTCACTAATTTTTAAAATGTTGTAAGCCACAAATAGCAGCCCCCTTCACAGAATAGATTTATTGAACCTTCATTAGAAGCTCAAGATACAATAATTTAAAAACAATTTTTTATATGCATTGCTTTGTGGGTTTTTTTTTTTCTTTTTCCTTTTTTTTCCTCCTAGCAAATGTCCAGAAGAGTTCATCTGTGTGAAAGCTGGTAGAAACCCCAACTATGGATATACCAGCTTTGACACATTCAGTTGGGCTTTCTTGTCATTGTTTCGACTGATGACACAGGACTACTGGGAAAATCTTTATCAGCTAGTAAGTGTATAGTAAAAATTGTGGTTAGTGTCTTACTGGCCCCAAATCAAACGTGAAAAGGCCATTCATATTTATATTATGTACCATTGCTATCATTAGCAATTGAAAATGAACAGTATTTATGCAAGGAAGCAAATTCAATTGCAGAATTAAACAGACATAGGCACTTGCTACAGAATCTCACATGATTTCTGAAGAGGCATATGAGGTTATTTTAATCCTTTATTTAATTTTTAAAGTGTATGTTTCATTTTGTGCCTCATGATAAGATCTTATTTTCAAAAACTTTAATATTGAGTTTAAATTGTAAAAATACTCTGTGACAGCAAAATCTGAATCTTAATTTCTATACTTTGAATCATGGTTTTGATAACTAAGAATGCATGTCCTTATAAATTACTTTTCCTACTATAGCTTTTCATTGTATCATGTGTGAAAATCTGTTAACTATAATAAATATTATCTTTTAATTATTTTATCATTTGTGCGATCTTTAATTCTTTTGGTTATTTCAAGCAGAAGGAGTGCTAATACATGGTAAGCATAGTAAGCATCCAACCTCTGATGTGTGATTTACATTAATTACTCTGATCCCACATCCATTTCAAGATTATTAGGCATTAAAAGAGGTTTGTCTCAAAGCAGCATGATCTTTAAGCGTGATTACTTAGTAATTCAGAAAGCTTGTATGATCTTCTTACAGAAGGAAGAACAACTCAATAATAGTTTTGCAGTTTTCAAACTCAGTAAATGCTTATGAACTGCATCTTCACCTGCGTCTTCAACAGATGGATCATTTCTTTTCTTCTCCTACAGACACTACGAGCTGTTGGCAAGACATACATGATATTTTTTGTTCTGGTCATTTTTCTGGGTTCCTTCTATTTGATTAACTTGATTTTGGCTGTGGTTGCCATGGCCTATGATGAACAAAATCAAGCAACTATAGTTGAAGCTGAACAGAGGGAGGCAGAGTTGCAGCAAATGCTTGAACAGTTGAGGAAGCAGCAAGAAGAAGCTCAGGTATTTCCTAACAAGAGTTTGAGCTCTAGTATATTCCTTTGCATGCTATTAATTCAAAACAAAACCAATAATTAAATTATCATATCAAAAAAGCGCTGTTCTTTTAGATACCTCACAAGTACTTTAGACTGCTTTCTCTATGGCTTTTTACTGCTTTTTTGAGTGTATAATGTCACAGCTGTGACAGGACAAGGGGTAATGGTTTTAAACTAAAACAGGATAGGTTTAGGCTGGATATAAGGAAAAAATTCTTTACAATGAGGGTGGTGAGGCACTGGAACGGGTTGCCCAGAGAGGTAGTGGAGGCCCCATCCCTGGAAACATTCAAGACCAGGTAGGACGGGGCTCTGAGCAACCTGATCTAGTTAGCGGTGTCCCTGCTCACTGCAGGGAGGTTGGACTAGATAACCTCTAAAGGTCCCTTCCAACCCAAAACATTCTATGATTCTATAAAGCATTAGTGAATGTCTGAACTGAGAACACAAAGTACTCTCCAAATCAGAATAATGTTTTTTAAATAAATATCTCTTATCTAGAGGTACTATCTATAACCTGTCATGATTACTTTCCAAATTCTCAGCTTAGAAATAATTGCAATACTTGTGCAATACTCGTCAAGCCTTGATTAGAGTTTAGAATATTTTTATCCATAAATTTCTGATTGATTTTTGCTACTTGTGTTGTCACCAGTGAATCAAAGACTGGAAGTAGTACCCAAAAGTTTTTTTCCTAAGAGCAGCTTAAGGAAGCTGTTGCTTACAGTAACAGTTAAAATTCATTTACTAAGTTAATACAAACTCAAGTATGACTTTGAGCTCTTTTGTTTGCAATTGCATTCACTCTAATTAAGAAATTTATTAATTTTCAAGTATCTTTCTAATGAACTTTGTGACACACTGCTGTACACAATGTGGGCTGGCTCCATGATAATGCAAAGCAGAACTCCATTTGAACAGCAACTTTCGAAACTGCCCTTTCATTTTAACTCCTATTAAAGAATTCCATTTGAAGTTTTGCACAAATCCATCTAGGCATTGTCGCATATCTAATAGTAATTTGATATAAATCTTAGAAATAAGGACTATAGTTTTCTTTTAAAAAATCATGTGATTTGTATAGCATCACATTAAATAATTGCTGTGGCAGGCAATAGCAGAAGCTGCAGCAGAGATGACAGAGTACAGCGGTGAAAGTGGGATTGCTGGACCGTCAGATAGTTCTTCAGAAGCATCCAAACTTAGCTCAAAAAGTGCCAAAGAAAGGAGAAATAGAAGGAAGAAAAGAAGGCAGAGGGAGCTCTCTGGAGAAGACAATGGCACAAAGGATGAAAAGCTTCCAAAATCTGAATCAGATGGCAGTATCAGAAGGAAAGGTTTCCGTTTTTCTTTTGATGGGAACAGACTTGCTTATGGGAAGCCGTTTGCATCACCCCACCAGGTACTGTGAATAGTGCAGTTGTCATTTTGGGGGTTTGTGAGATAACTGTAATGTCCAACAAACTTCACTGCAACTTGGAAAATAATACAACCAAGGAAAAATAACGTTGCGTTATTTTAAATACTGAGTTACTGTTGGTATTATTTTCTAGAGTGTATCTAAACAAGTATTTTGATCTCTCTCATTTTATTTTTTAGGGTCTGGTGGGTCTTAAACATACACAGCAGCATTATATTTTCCTAGTTAATTTGAAATAGAAATCCCTTTTTAATTCATAAAAGGGAAATTTAAGTTTAATGTATCAATGTAGAAGACTTAGGGTATTGATGTCTTTTAACATAATGCATGATCTACATAAGTGTAAATTTGTTAGAATTTCTAGAAATTCTAGATTTTTCTCTTTAATACAGAGATGGAAACTACTATGGCTTTAATGCATGTTATTGTTTTCTCTGTAATAATTGTTTTAGGTATACAGTAAATTTACCCATTCAGATGACTCTTATCTCTAATGCAGGTGTCTGAAATCTACCTAAGGCTCTGTATTAAAAGTAACAGATTCCTGGGGAATTTAAATTATTGGGGTTTTAATACATAGTCATGCTTTTTGTATATTTAAAATCTTCAGCCAGTCATTTTGTATATGTTTCCTTTGCAGTCTTTACTGAGTGTTCGTGGCTCTCTGTTTTCTCCCAGACGTAGTAGCAGAACAAGTCTTTTCAGTTTTAGAGAATATGGAAGAGAGATAGGATCTGAAAATGACTTTGCTGATGACGAGCACAGCACGTTTGAGGATAATGGGAGCAGAAGAGGTTCACTCTTTTTGCCACACAGACACAGTGAACGGCGCAGTAGTAACATTAGTCAGACTAGTAGATCATCAAGAAGGCTGCCACTATTTCCAATGAATGGGAAGATGCACAGCACTGTGGATTGCAATGGGGTGGTTTCCCTAGTGGATGGACCACCAGGTCTGTTGTCGCCTACTGGACAGCTTCTGCCAGAGGTGATAATTGATAAACCGACAACTGATGACAATGTAAGAAAGTTTTAAATGACTCCAGATTTCACGACCTTTCTTTATTGCGCCAGACAATATTTGAATGGAGTGAAATGCTTTGAAAATGGTCGAGAAGTTGTGAATGCTTTTGCATATCTTACTGTAATGAAATGGGTTTATGGTGGCTCACTCAAAAGTGAGAGGCTGAAGCACAAAAATGAAAGAGAAAAAAGTAGCTCATTTTTATATATCTGCAAAGATATGCATGCACGTGCATAGTGAATTAAATTAGTAATATTCCATTGCTAAATCTGTTTTAGGACCCAAAATACAGTGCTCAGCTTTCTAAACATTGTGCACATTATTATGTTGGTTTGATTTTTTCTTTCTTTATGGTTTTAGCATCCCTTTAAATGTATTTCTTAATTCTCTATCAGTAATCAGCTGGTTCTGCTTTTTTCTCCTGCCCATATATGGGGTATTGTGCAAATGTAGCATAGCCTTTAAGATTATACTTATATTTTAGAAGCTCTGAAAGCTTTTTTCTTCTGGGTCTCAAGAGGTGATCTGAGTTTTTCACTGCCTAGGATCAGGGTATAATTAAAAAAAAAAGTACCTGCAAATTCATCCATTTGTCCCTCTGATAAGTTTTCCCTTTTCCCTCAGGCTGCTCTAGGAGTGGAGCAGAGGAATCTGTTGCATGTTTTTTCCTAGAAACCTTTTATTGAAACAAAAATTTTTACACAGGTCACAGCATCTGAAAGTACATCAGCCAGATTCCTTCCAGCTATAATCTTCTTGCAGTTTATTATACTTTCACTTTTATGCATTTATATAATTTACTGAAAAAAAATCTACCCATGCTCATATATTCAAAACTTCTTTATAATTGGGGTGTGTTTAATGATGTAACTATAACACAGCTTTCAATTTTTCAATAAAATACTTTGATCTAAAACTGAATACTTTTTTTAAAGTCAGATATCTTTCATTTCTTCAGTTGAAATTCATAAAATAAATCATAGATGAGAGCTATTCAATGTAAAAGATACCTTTTAATTTAGTTTTGAATGGGTATAGAAATCAAGACTGATCTATAAAAATTACTTTTAGAGAATAGTTGTTATTGCAGAAAACTTGCTAGCATAAATCACTTCTTATAAATACCTTGTGACTGAACTAGTTTAGAAGTGAAATATTGGTAGAGAAAGCACGGAACTGGGAATTTTTCCAGTTCCAGTGCTGCAACAGTCTTGGTTTGTATCCTTGGCTATGACCTCCTCCAAAATTTCTTTGTTTCTAATGTGGAGTTAATAGTAGTTAACTATAATGCAATGGTAATCTGGGAACTAAATATGAAAATCTTCTTCTAGTGTTTTATAAGTATTAACAATATTCAGAAGTATAACATAAAAATAGCCATATAAAAAATACTAGGCTTACATTATATGTATAATGGAAAAAAAACCTGATTTAACAGCACTTAAATATTTAACGGCTTTATATATTATTAAGTCATTGAAACTGAAGAGTCTTTCTGGTACCTGTTTTGCAGTATTTTTAAAGTTTAATTTATGCCCGTCTTATTTATTTATTTTTATAGAGCACTACTACAGAAACAGAAATAAAAAAGAGGCGTACAAGTTCATATCTATCACAAATACGATGGAAGGTGTGTTATAACTGCTGATTAGTGCACTTTCTTGACATAGTCTTAGACTTGCTAGAAGGTATTGTATCACAGTGCAAATACAGAAGACAAAAAATATGTAACCATTGCAAATATATAAACTGAATAACAGAACAAATGTGCATGTACATAGTGAAAGAAAAAATGAAGGAATCTGATAAGCAGGCTAAACTACAAAACACATTCTAATTAAAATAGATAATGTGTATGTGTTTTATACTAGTTGTTCATGTTTAGCAATACAATTATTGGAAGAAATGCCTTGTGATGAATTTTCCACTAACTGTACTGTAAAAAGTTACAGAAAATTAAAGGCCAGGCCTTACTTAATAACAAGGAAATTTATAGTAGGATTATTTGGAACAGTGAAATTATTACCAGTGAAATTCTTGAAAAAGCTTGAATAGTTTTCAAAAACCTATTCATGGTGAAATTAATCTTATGTTTCCTGAAAATAAATAATTACTCATTTGAGAGGACTGTGAAATGGGAAGTTTTACTGAGAAAACTATCCCTAAACATAAGCATAAATAGTTGTGGGTTTGGGTTTTTTTTTTGTTGGTGGTGGTTTTGGGTTTTTTTGAGCAAGATCATATGATATTAAAAATAGGCAACTTTTTCAATTATTAGCTCAAAACTCTTGAGGTTTTTCTTCTAAAATCCTTTTAGTCAGCATCAATAAGTTAAGTTCCTGGAAATATGAGGAGTTTCCTTTAAACATCCTTAATGGTTCCAGGGATAAAGATTAAAACCTGAAAAAACAGATGAACAAAAATTTATCTTCTCTTTCTCCAAAACTTGTTCACTCTACATTTCTTTTTTTCCCAGAACTTGAAGAATCCAGGCAAAAATGTCCACCTTGCTGGTATAAGTTTGCCCATACTTTCTTAATTTGGAATTGTTGGGAGCCCTGGTTAAAAGTAAAGAATGTAGTTGAATTTATTGTAATGGACCCACTTGTTGATCTGGCTATCACTGTTTGCATAATTTTAAACACGCTGTTTATGGCCATGGAACATTATCCAATGACTACCGAATTCAATAATGTACTTAAAATAGGAAATCAGGTAAGTCCATCAAACTATATCATTTGATACAGTTGGAACATTGTTTCTCTTTGAAATAGAATTACTTTTATTATTTTGATTATCATCCCATAAAATAAATGTTAAAGGTTTAATTGTACTAAAAATAGTTGAAAAATACCATTTGAGATATGTTGTATTTAAGAGTTTGATTTCTGTATTAAAATTTCTGCAAACAGAATTCTTAACAACCAGAGTTTGAATGACATGAAACTACAAGAAATCTGACTTGTTTTTCTTTAGTATTATGAAAAAAAGTAGCAGCCAAGTTAGATCCTTTCTAATGTAAGTATCATTAATAACACAAGAAGACTTGGGTGTTAGTTTGGATTATTACTTTGCACTGGTATTTTTTGTGTTATTTTTGTATTTCCATGAAGGATGTTGCTTTGATTTGGTCCAGGAAGGCAAAGAATGTGTGACTTACTCCAAGAGTGCCTGTTCACTTGTGGACAGTCTGTAGGTCGGGTTTGGGGTGGTTGGTTTGTTTTATCTGCTATATTTCTTATTCTACAGTTATGGTAAGTGGCAATTCTGGTAATTGTGATGTAGCAAAATAATAAAACAATTTGATTATTAGAATATATGAAATTGTAGTACATGTTGGGAAGGTATCAGGTTTCAGTTCAGAGTTGTTAATGTGTCAATGTTGGAATTTTATATTGATATTTTTAACCAATTCAGACATAGTTCGATGTTTTCACCTTAGCCTGGAGTCAGAGATCACTGTCTAAGACAATCACGTCATGTTGCTGTTTAAAATATATTCAGGATGAATTTGAGGAGAAAGACAGGGAACATGAATAGGTGCAGCTCTATAGCTGTTGCAGAGGGTTGTCTTGTGATGTGATCATGCCTGCATGTTTTACCCAGGAAACAACCATTTTTTCCTTTCACATGTAATGAAGTAGCTTAATATTAATCTAATTTTGAGCTGTGTGAGTGTAAGTGTACCTTTGTGCTGATAAGAATTTGTGTTTACTCTGTCAGCTAAAATGCCATTATTACAGAGGCGTAGTTTCAGCAGTTGATTTCTTGCTTTTTGAACTGTGTAGCACTGTCTTTTAAAGACTGTCATATGTTCGTGATTTTTTTTTAAAGTTTTTTTGTCTTTCTAGTAAAAGGTAATAATGTATGCAGTTCTGTAGATACTGGTGGTCATACATCTACCATAAATACAGTGAATTTACTCCCTTTTCAGAGGCGTTGTTTGCCTTTAGCTTCACAAGACATCAGAGGCAGAAAGGAGTTTTACTTCAAACATGAGCCTCGCTATAATTGGCCTTTTTTTGGCAGCTAGAAAGAGGAGATATGCTTACTGTACCTCTGAGTTCTCATGATGACTTCATTTAGTAGCACATCACTCTCCAATTTATGACACACTCATAGTTTTCCACTCACCTTTGTTAAAGCAGCTTCCACTGTGGCAAGAGTGCTGAGGAAAGTTCCTTTACTCAGATGTACGACAGATAGGAGGAGCAAACAGGAGGCCTGTTAGGAATAGTTTTTCTTCACTAGTTACTAAATATATCTTGTGTTTCACTAACGTTAACAGGCAGATTTATGCTACAGCTCATTTTGATGTTGCCACTTACCTTCTCTGTGAGGTTCAGCTTGTGATAGTTTTTCTTACTGACATCCTGCTGTAAGAGGGTTCTTACTTCTTTCTTACGTTATTCTTTGTCTGCTGGTTCAACTTATTCATACTCACCTATAAAGTAACAATAAACATTCTTCCTTCAGGTTTTTACTGGAATTTTTGCAGCAGAAATGGTTCTCAAGATAATTGCCATGCATCCTTTCTATTATTTCCAAGTTGGCTGGAATATTTTCGATAGTTTTATAGTTACCCTTAGTTTGGTGGAGCTTTTTCTGTCAACTGTGGATGGATTATCCGTTCTCCGATCATTCAGATTGGTAAATAAATGAGTGATAATAATATATCTGTATTATGTTTGTATTTTAACTGTACTTGTGTAAATAAGATTCCTTTTAGTAATATTACGTCTATTTTTTGCTGTCACAGGGTATCTCTGCAAGCATGTTTTACAAAATTATTTATGATATCAGTGAATAGTGTGTGCTGTTTTATGGTTCAGAAGCAACTAAATATTTTTTAACTGTTTTAACATGGATGGGTAAAGCACAGTGAAGCGTATAATTTATTTAGTGCATATTGAGAGATATAAATAAATAAAACATTTGTAGTCTTCTGTCTACTTCCATATCTGGAAATTGCAAAAAGACTAGAAATGTTCTTTTAAAATGTAGGAATTACAAAATTCTTACTTTTTTCATTTTCTTTTCCCCTTGGCAAAAAAAGGGAATGCTTTATTTTATTAGAAAAACATTTTACTTTAAAAATGAGAAATGAGCTATGAGACATTCTTTCTCGGTGGTATCTTTCAGTTTTGCGTTTCCATTTTGCTTTTATCTGAAAACAAAAAAATATTTAATAACTTTTTTATTTGGGGTGGTTTATGGCTAAGAAAGAGTCTGAATTATACTTTTTCCCCTTTATAAGTTGAAAAGCTTAACCTACAGATTGTGTTTGGCTTTTATTTCCAGACTGTGGGTCTGTCTGATCCATTTTAAATTTGTTGGAGGCAATGTTCTTTTGGAAGATCCCATTCTTCGAGGATTTCGGAGTCCTTTATTTTCCTTCAGTAGAATCCTGTTGAGCTTTATTGGTTGTTTTTTTTAATTTGTTTCTGCACATAATGGTTGAGATGTATGCCATGTTCACTATCCGAACAAATTCAACCATTGTGCTGTTTCTTTCATGTAGAAAAGAACACAGATGTGCTACACAAAAAAAGTGTGAAGTCTAAAATTTATTAAGCTTTATAAGTGTGGATTTTATGGGACTCCTGTTTCTGTGTAAGTTATGGTGGTTGGAATCATGTTGAAGTTTCTTATTTTTCTTATTGCTGAGAGTTACTAGTTCATAATCTATTTCTATAGTGGTTTTGTAACTACTGCAAATAATGTCTCTGTATTTTTGTTTTTCAGTTGCGAGTTTTCAAATTGGCAAAATCTTGGCCAACTCTAAATATGCTGATAAAAATTATTGGTAACTCAGTGGGGGCTCTGGGTAATCTGACCCTGGTGCTGGCCATCATTGTGTTCATTTTTGCTGTGGTTGGGATGCAGCTGTTTGGGAAAAGCTACAAGGAATGTGTCTGCAAGATCTCTAAGGACTGTGAACTTCCACGCTGGCACATGCATGATTTTTTCCACTCTTTCTTGATTGTGTTTCGAGTGCTGTGTGGAGAATGGATAGAAACGATGTGGGACTGCATGGAGGTTGCAGGCCAACCCATGTGCCTTACGGTCTTCATGATGGTCATGGTGATTGGAAACCTAGTGGTATGTAGCCAAAATAATTTGAGAATTCATTTAGAGAAAGAATGGTTACAGAACCAGTAATTAGGTTTTTTAAAGCATTATTAAATGTGTTATTTAAATCTGTTTTTACAACTTTGAATTTGTTACAAGTATGGGTTCTGAAATAGAGATTTCTACTTGTTAGATTTCTGATCCTATATAGAATCCTCAGCTTGGAGTATGGGCCCCCTCAGGGGCCTGGAATGCAATTCAGAGGATGTGGGTGAGAGAGAGAAGCATCGTGTGTTCAGGTTGTTGTGGACTCCTCCTGATTACCTAAGGAGAGAAAGAGAGTAGAGCAAAGGGGCCCCAAGTGTTATGCTCCCAGGATGGGAGTTTGCTGTTTGTAGAAGAGGACATAGCAGGGCCTTTTCTCCCAACTGATTGAGGCATCGCTTCCAATCATGTATAGCCAGGTTGTTTGTTTGTTTTTTTTTTTTAACTACTTCTTCTCTCTCCTGTCTCAAAGACTGCTTGAACATTCTTAGACTCTGAAATTTAAGCTATTTTGAGCCCTGCTTGCTGCACAGGCAACTTTTTACACAAATGGAGTAAGGAAACTTGAATTGGAAGGCAGCAGTTCTGCAGAAAAAAACAGATTCAAATACTTCACATTTTCTTTCACCTCTTCATCTTTTTGTTTCCTATTTCTTAAGTGCTTTTTACAGACACTTTTAAAGCAGTCTGTGTTATATCTTCTTTTTCTCTTTCAAAGGAAAGCATTAGCTCTGTACCAGTTTGTACATTACTGTGTAGAAATTTGTCTTTTAAAACATATTTTATATTTATTAACTCGCCAGTATTTGAGGTCTTCATTTCTCCGCCTTTTGCTCTGCTTTTCTCATTGCCTACTGAGTCTTCCTTTATTATTCTACATCTTTTCTTTAGGCAACTGTCAGTAGCAGAAGAGGTTTTAAATTACCCATCCTGGAGGCATTCTTTAGGAATAAAATACCTAACAACAGGAAAAAGCTAATTATCTTTAAACCAGTTGTGCATTACTACTGGTAGCACAGACACTTGCTCCAGGATTTTCTACAAATCTATTGTCTTATAATGAAGAGAACTGTGAAATTGATTGGCCAAACAAAACATCCTTCTTAAATAGTTTTCTAAACTAGAAGATAGAACTTTGTGGAATGAAGCATCCGTCTCTCTCTGAATTTTTCCACAGTATTTACTGTATTCTGATTTTATACCATAGCTCTTTTAGAATTTCTTATATGAGTAAACAATCCCTGCTGTATGTTCAGGGTTCTGTTATCCAGTTGTCTTTCTGTGTTCTCAACACATAGTTCTACCCTGTTGTCTTCAAAGCTGCATAGAAGAACTGATCTGAAGGCTTTAAGAGCTGGTACTCTGCTTCTTTGGCTATCCTACTATCATTTGGGCTCCTGGTAAACTCTGGGCTTGTATAACTGATATTTATTCTATGTTTTTTCTTGCTGTGGGAAGAGGATGACTTGGGGGTTAGGAGACAAGGTGTGCTTCACATTTTTTAAATCGCAGACAGCAGAATATTTATGTGAGTTTGGACCAGTATTTAAAAAAGCTGTTTTCTGCACAGATCAGCTGTGTCTTCTGTTGCAGAGTGCTTCCTATGCCAGAAAAGTAAACATTTTGAATCTGTTCAGTCAGTACCAAAGAATCATTAATTTCTGACCTTCTACAGACACAAGCAGAAAAAGAGTTTACAAGCGTCTTCATAGTCATACAGCGATGCAAAACCACAAAAAAACCTGCACTGCGGTATAGGGCAGGTGGTGTGCTTAAATTGCATTTCCATTTTATTTACTGTGTAATTTCCAGAATCATATACAGCAAGGGAAAATACGAAGCCTAAGGTGATGGAAGAAGCATGTGAATGAAAAACTAAATGAGAAAATTCAGTTGTATTTTCTTTATTTTTTTTTTTTTTGTTAGGTATTAAACCTTTTTCTGGCCTTGCTGCTGAGTTCATTTAGTTCAGACAGCCTTTCTCCTACAGAGGATGATAATGAAATGAACAACTTACAGATTGCTGTTGCAAGAATTCAGAAGGGAATAAATTATGTGAAGAAAAAAGCAGGTGAATGTGTCCGAAAGTCTTGTTGGAGAAAACAAGCTGTTGTAAATCAAAGAACAGCAACAGATCAGTTGAATGATGAGAGAGACCATTGCATTTCCAATTGTACCATTGCTGAAATAAGGAGAGATATGAATTATCACAAAAATGAGAATGGAATGACCACTGTTATAGCTGGCAGTGATTATACAACGTTCATAAACAACCCAAACCTTACTGTTACAGTACCAATAGCTGTTGGAGAATCTGATTTTGAACATCTAAATACAGAGGAGTTTAGCAGTGACTCTGATTTGGAGGAAAGCAAGGAGGTAAGATTTAAATATTTTATATTTTGTATGAATTAATTATACCAATTGTATTCTTTCATAGTATGGCTCTTCCTGCTTAGAAATAGGAAGCAATTGTGATTTAAGATTGTTGGACTGTACTGAGAGTGAATAAACTGAAGTGGGAAAGTGGAGCTAGAGAGCATAGGAAATCCAGGCAGAACTGTATAAACACATATGAACCCATTTATAAAAGGGTTTTGAAAAACAAGCTTTTCCAAATTTTTAGTTGGATAGACAAACTAGTATATATGTATAGAGTAAACAGAGACAAAAGACATGGGGTTTTGTATATAATCCTAATGTTTCCTTGAAATATGAAAGTAAAATGCTATTTTAAAAGATTAGAGGAGATATTAATAAAGAATATTAATACCCTTTGCATCTGATTTTTAAAGCTCACTGAATTCTACAGAAATCAGCATTATTTGTACTGGATAACTAACAGAGGTGCTAACTCAGGCTAATGAGAGCAATAACAATGGTTTTCAATTTCTGAAGTTAAAATTATGGGGGAAAAGCAAGGGAATATCAGTATTATAAGGTGAATATGTCAAGTAAAAATTATGAGAAAAAAATAGAATTACTGAATGAAAAAATATTCATTTCTTGCTTGGTTGTGGGAGTTTTGAACCAGTTACTTCAAAGGCAACTGCTTGACCTTAAACTGGGTCAGCTTTAGGAAAGCAGTCATTTGTCAGCAGCTGCTGACTGAGGGGGGAAGTGAGAAACACTTTGAAAATTCAGATCGCTATGCTGTGGCTCCAGTGCAGACTGTGTCTGGTATCAACTCCCCTGGCACCTGAAGACACAAGGACATTAATGGAGTGACACTGCTTGTGCAGACAGCCATACTCCAGCTTGGATTGCTTTGTCTGGATTGTTTTGTTTTCTTTTGGGGGGTTTTGCGTTCTTTTCTTTTCTTTTCTTTTTTTTTTTTTTTTTTTTTTTTTTTTTTTTTTTTTTTTGATTGGTTGTGGTCTTTTACAGTTTTGGTGGTTTTGTTTTGAACTGGCAATGAATTTGCCCATATTCTTTCCAAATTTTACAAATGTTTGTTCTAGCAAAGCATAGTTAAATTAAACTGAAATTTGAAGGTGTATTAAACTGATTCTTTAGGCGTTTAATCTATTTCTATAGTGGTTTTGTAACTACTGCAAATAATGTCTCTGTATTTTTGTTTTTCAGTTGCGAGTTTTCAAATTGGCAAAATCTTGGCCAACTCTAAATATGCTGATAAAAATTATTGGTAACTCAGTGGGGGCTCTGGGTAATCTGACCCTGGTGCTGGCCATCATTGTGTTCATTTTTGCTGTGGTTGGGATGCAGCTGTTTGGGAAAAGCTACAAGGAATGTGTCTGCAAGATCTCTAAGGACTGTGAACTTCCACGCTGGCACATGCATGATTTTTTCCACTCTTTCTTGATTGTGTTTCGAGTGCTGTGTGGAGAATGGATAGAAACGATGTGGGACTGCATGGAGGTTGCAGGCCAACCCATGTGCCTTACGGTCTTCATGATGGTCATGGTGATTGGAAACCTAGTGGTATGTAGCCAAAATAATTTGAGAATTCATTTAGAGAAAGAATGGTTACAGAACCAGTAATTAGGTTTTTTAAAGCATTATTAAATGTGTTATTTAAATCTGTTTTTACAACTTTGAATTTGTTACAAGTATGGGTTCTGAAATAGAGATTTCTACTTGTTAGATTTCTGATCCTATATAGAATCCTCAGCTTGGAGTATGGGCCCCCTCAGGGGCCTGGAATGCAATTCAGAGGATGTGGGTGAGAGAGAGAAGCATCGTGTGTTCAGGTTGTTGTGGACTCCTCCTGATTACCTAAGGAGAGAAAGAGAGTAGAGCAAAGGGGCCCCAAGTGTTATGCTCCCAGGATGGGAGTTTGCTGTTTGTAGAAGAGGACATAGCAGGGCCTTTTCTCCCAACTGATTGAGGCATCGCTTCCAATCATGTATAGCCAGGTTGTTTGTTTGTTTGTTTTTTTTAACTACTTCTTCTCTCTCCTGTCTCAAAGACTGCTTGAACATTCTTAGACTCTGAAATTTAAGCTATTTTGAGCCCTGCTTGCTGCACAGGCAACTTTTTACACAAATGGAGTAAGGAAACTTGAATTGGAAGGCAGCAGTTCTGCAGAAAAAAACAGATTCAAATACTTCACATTTTCTTTCACCTCTTCATCTTTTTGTTTCCTATTTCTTAAGTGCTTTTTACAGACACTTTTAAAGCAGTCTGTGTTATATCTTCTTTTTCTCTTTCAAAGGAAAGCATTAGCTCTGTACCAGTTTGTACATTACTGTGTAGAAATTTGTCTTTTAAAACATATTTTATATTTATTAACTCGCCAGTATTTGAGGTCTTCATTTCTCCGCCTTTTGCTCTGCTTTTCTCATTGCCTACTGAGTCTTCCTTTATTATTCTACATCTTTTCTTTAGGCAACTGTCAGTAGCAGAAGAGGTTTTAAATTACCCATCCTGGAGGCATTCTTTAGGAATAAAATACCTAACAACAGGAAAAAGCTAATTATCTTTAAACCAGTTGTGCATTACTACTGGTAGCACAGACACTTGCTCCAGGATTTTCTACAAATCTATTGTCTTATAATGAAGAGAACTGTGAAATTGATTGGCCAAACAAAACATCCTTCTTAAATAGTTTTCTAAACTAGAAGATAGAACTTTGTGGAATGAAGCATCCGTCTCTCTCTGAATTTTTCCACAGTATTTACTGTATTCTGATTTTATACCATAGCTCTTTTAGAATTTCTTATATGAGTAAACAATCCCTGCTGTATGTTCAGGGTTCTGTTATCCAGTTGTCTTTCTGTGTTCTCAACACATAGTTCTACCCTGTTGTCTTCAAAGCTGCATAGAAGAACTGATCTGAAGGCTTTAAGAGCTGGTACTCTGCTTCTTTGGCTATCCTACTATCATTTGGGCTCCTGGTAAACTCTGGGCTTGTATAACTGATATTTATTCTATGTTTTTTCTTGCTGTGGGAAGAGGATGACTTGGGGGTTAGGAGACAAGGTGTGCTTCACATTTTTTAAATCGCAGACAGCAGAATATTTATGTGAGTTTGGACCAGTATTTAAAAAAGCTGTTTTCTGCACAGATCAGCTGTGTCTTCTGTTGCAGAGTGCTTCCTATGCCAGAAAAGTAAACATTTTGAATCTGTTCAGTCAGTACCAAAGAATCATTAATTTCTGACCTTCTACAGACACAAGCAGAAAAAGAGTTTACAAGCGTCTTCATAGTCATACAGCGATGCAAAACCACAAAAAAACCTGCACTGCGGTATAGGGCAGGTGGTGTGCTTAAATTGCATTTCCATTTTATTTACTGTGTAATTTCCAGAATCATATACAGCAAGGGAAAATACGAAGCCTAAGGTGATGGAAGAAGCATGTGAATGAAAAACTAAATGAGAAAATTCAGTTGTATTTTCTTTATTTTTTTTTTTTTTGTTAGGTATTAAACCTTTTTCTGGCCTTGCTGCTGAGTTCATTTAGTTCAGACAGCCTTTCTCCTACAGAGGATGATAATGAAATGAACAACTTACAGATTGCTGTTGCAAGAATTCAGAAGGGAATAAATTATGTGAAGAAAAAAGCAGGTGAATGTGTCCGAAAGTCTTGTTGGAGAAAACAAGCTGTTGTAAATCAAAGAACAGCAACAGATCAGTTGAATGATGAGAGAGACCATTGCATTTCCAATTGTACCATTGCTGAAATAAGGAGAGATATGAATTATCACAAAAATGAGAATGGAATGACCACTGTTATAGCTGGCAGTGATTATACAACGTTCATAAACAACCCAAACCTTACTGTTACAGTACCAATAGCTGTTGGAGAATCTGATTTTGAACATCTAAATACAGAGGAGTTTAGCAGTGACTCTGATTTGGAGGAAAGCAAGGAGGTAAGATTTAAATATTTTATATTTTGTATGAATTAATTATACCAATTGTATTCTTTCATAGTATGGCTCTTCCTGCTTAGAAATAGGAAGCAATTGTGATTTAAGATTGTTGGACTGTACTGAGAGTGAATAAACTGAAGTGGGAAAGTGGAGCTAGAGAGCATAGGAAATCCAGGCAGAACTGTATAAACACATATGAACCCATTTATAAAAGGGTTTTGAAAAACAAGCTTTTCCAAATTTTTAGTTGGATAGACAAACTAGTATATATGTATAGAATAAACAGAGACAAAAGACATGGGGTTTTGTATATAATCCTAATGTTTCCTTGAAATATGAAAGTAAAATGCTATTTTAAAAGATTAGAGGAGATATTAATAAAGAATATTAATACCCTTTGCATCTGATTTTTAAAGCTCACTGAATTCTACAGAAATCAGCATTATTTGTACTGGATAACTAACAGAGGTGCTAACTCAGGCTAATGAGAGCAATAACAATGGTTTTCAATTTCTGAAGTTAAAATTATGGGGGAAAAGCAAGGGAATATCAGTATTATAAGGTGAATATGTCAAGTAAAAATTATGAGAAAAAAATAGAATTACTGAATGAAAAAATATTCATTTCTTGCTTGGTTGTGGGAGTTTTGAACCAGTTACTTCAAAGGCAACTGCTTGACCTTAAACTGGGTCAGCTTTAGGAAAGCAGTCATTTGTCAGAAGCTGCTGACTGAGGGG